CTCATATCATTGTGGGAAAATTCTACTACCAGTCCTTCATCACCTTACACGAAATTGGGTGAATACATCTAATATTAATAATTTACTGGTATTCACGAAAACAATACTTAATTCGAAAAATAAAAAAATTACTTAGGATATATGATAAATCAGGGAGAAATGCCATGGCATTAATCTGTATTAACTATAGTCTTCCTGCCGATATGGTGTAATGAATGAGCACTTAAGGCATAACAACCTTTGGCTTGTGATCAGTCAACAGGGTGTCGGAAGAGTCGTCGAATGGGCCAACCGGCAAGGCAAGCGTTTCTAAGTGCCTGGAGTGGCGCAGGTCAGCTGGGAGACCAGCCAATTTAAGCGAGTCGTTAGTGAACACCAACTTTGGCTTGATTAGACCGTTGGTGTCGATTTGACGTGGTTGTTGTTGCTGCAGCAGCTGGGGACACTCGTCGCCAGTATCGGTTGCGCTGACCAATGCTCTTTCCTGACTTCCAAAGAAACTGGGGTCGAGCTGCTTGACTGCCCTCCGCCGGAGGCAGGCGAAGAAGAGCAGAAGCAACAAGCAGGCCAGAGCTGTCGCAGCAAAAATCAGAAGCACAGGATGGCGAAGATATTCCATGAGTCGCGTTAACGAGGAGACTGGCAATCCTGGACATGTGAAGCAATCACTCGTAGTGAGGATGGAGAGGCTCATTAGTAGAAAATAGGTTAACAAACGGGTGCATCTCAGTAGCTGAGACAAAAGACTTTTAAGAATCTACTTATTAATAATAGCAATAATACGTGTATAAGTGGGTTGACCTCGTTGTCGCAACTTGGTATTGTTGCCAGGTCGACTTGGTAGAACGCACCTTGTCCAAAGTCCTCTGGCATAATAGTTATCATCATTCCCAGCATCAGACCGTGGACTTGCTACATTCTCAAACGTTTCGCCGATATCGTCAGTGCGTACTGCCATTATCCGCACCAAGCTACGAACTCGTCAAAGAGACAAGTGAAGTCATTGCCTTGACAACCGTTTTGCCGGAAACGGTTACACTATCACTCCTCTTTCTGTCCCGGTCTATCTATCTACTCTTTACCCTCTTATC